GACAACTCAGTTAAAAAAGGCAATGGCAAAGCAGCAAAGGAAAAGAAAGGAAACAGTCATTTTTCCCAAAGGACACTCCTAACAGGACAATTGGCAGCAGGTCCTCTTAGCAGTGAGGATGATGCACCATGGAGCAAACTGCCAAGGGAATCAGGGGATACTCCATCCCTTGCTTCCCTCAAAGCCAGGAGGATGGCTTTGCTGGAAGACATTCAGCAACACAAAACTAGCAGTTGAAATTCTTCAGTTCTGCTAAACACAGCAGATGATATGTTATAATAACCTATAGTGACTTTACATTCTGTTCAGTGCCACTCGTCTTTTCTACTGTGAACCAGAAGCTTGTGAAAGCAGGTCTTCCTGTCTATCTGTCACAGCCACCTCAGCTCCAGTTCTTTTCCACTCATTCCAATTTGTTTTCCTCACCATGAGCTCTTGGTGCTGGAAGGGGAGGATGGCTTGTTCTCTGCTGAGTGTTGTGCCATGCTTTGCTCCTCATTTTCAGACATCTCTCCTTCCAGCTTCTACTCAAGTCTCTTAATTCCTGCCCCAGATCAGCTTTGCCGTGCCTTGTGATCCTCTGTGGTTTTCTCGCATGGTCTTCTTTGCCTTTCATCTGCAGCCACTGATGGATCCTAGTCCAGTCTCCAGGGTGTCAGAGTCAGGACCGTGTCAGCTCAGCTGTGTGCTGAGGTAGGACTGGGCTTGTGATCCAAGAATGGATCTGCTGCATCAAACCAGTTCTTGGTTTGGCCCCAGCCCCTTGGAGGGTTTGGCTTTGAGTGGTGAAGGAAGGTTTCCAGGGCCACAGAGAAGGGGTTTGCACGCACCAGAGCGTACGAGTCTGTACATGATAAAGGGATGCATCATCTGACTGAATTTAATTAAGGTCTTTTCTCCTCTATTACTTTCTTCCCCTCTAAGTGACCTTCAGCTGCAAAGCCTGCCTATCATGCCCCCCCCCAGCATCTTTACCACTTCCCTTTTTGCCATTGCAGTGGTAGGGAAAGAACTGACTCTGCCAACAAGCTGCATCAATCCTTCCCTCCAAGAGAAAAACTGAAGGGACGTGAGTAGTTCCCACAAAATTGTACTGGTGGCACTTAAAAATCTCCAAAATCCCTGAATGGAGAGATTCCCCCTTGTTTTTTAACCTTCTGCCTTTGTTGTCCTCCAAATTTTATTTCAAGCTTTATTAGAGAAATTACAGGTGAATACAACCACGAAAGAGTTTTTTTCTTTGTTCAGGTGTGCTTGATGGGTCCTTCCTCAGTGCTATTCTAATTTGTGTGCTTTCAAATGTGTGCAGGCTCTCTTCCTGCTAAAATCCATGCTTTTGTGCAGAGGGAGCCTTCCCTCCAGTCTCTGTTAGATGGGTAGGAACAGTATGGAGTGGGGAAGCCTCAAATGCTTATGGAGAGACCATGGTGGTGAGGGCACTGCCTGTACTGGCTCACCCTGATTTGTCCCCCTGCACTGTGTGGGATCATGGATCATCCAAGGAGCTCTTATCATTCCCAAAACATCTGCCTCTTCCCCCTGCTTCCCTGTGGTACGTGTCTATGAGGTAGGTGGGATGTATTCTGTGATAATTTGCTGTGCAATAGGTTTTGTTGGGGAGGTATCTTGAGCACCTGAGCTTTGACTTTGCCCCTAGAGCTCATCATACAAATGTCATGAGATAACAGATGTAATACTGTGCAAATATTCTTTTTTTTTCTGTAAAGCAAAGAGCTTAGAAGACGACACATATTCCTGCAAAGCAGCCTATCACCAGGGAAGTATACAGTGCTGCTGTTACCTGTTTAAAAAACAAACAATATTAGGAAAAAGGTTGAACATGCTCAGTGAATATTGGCCTTTGAAAGGTTTGGAGCTATTTTATTTATGAGTCTTATTTTTTTACACACAGGTCTGGTCTTGGACCAGCCCTTTTAAAGATAGTTCACCTAAGCTGGGTTTGGCAGCCAGAAATGCTCTCTTCTCAGCCTTTTAGGTAATTTCTTAGGAATTTGAAAACACAGAGATTGTGCTATCTGTGTGGAGGAAAACAGTGCACAGTAGGGATGAGATATGTAAAAAGAACTATTCCCCACCAGCCCTTTGGAGAGGCTCATGAGCCCCCCATTTGCAAGATGCTGTCTGTGCCCTTTTATGTTTTTTTGTGTGGAGGTTGCCAGGCTGCATTTTCCAGGAGAGCAGTAAAGCCAGCCTCCTTTTTGTCTTCCTTTTTTTTTCCTCCTTCCTGCAGCTTAAAACAGGTTGTGAAATAACCCCATGGCTTGGACAAATTGTTGGTTGCTCAGCATAGCTACATCTTGGAGGGGCTCAATGGTTGGGGGGAGAGTCTGAGCACAGCAAAGTGCTACAAGCTGGGTTTACATCTCAATCTGAGGTGTCCCAAGGCCTGATAGTCTGAGGGAAAGCCTTTACTGTGTTAATGCACAATGACGTTTTGGGCAAGTGTTGGAAAATACGGCTGGGATTGACTTGGAGAAGTTGCCTGGCCCAGTTCCCTGGGGCTGGCTTTGCTGTGATGGGTGGACGCCTGACTCTTTGCAAGGAGCAAGATTTCTCAGTTTCTGTAGTGAATTTGTCCCAGCACTTTAGTGCTGTAAAGAAGTCTCCTCTTGCTGCTATTTCCCCCCATTACTTCTAAATCTCCCCTCAGCTGACATGGAAAGCTGTTTCTTCATGAGAGGAATTTCAAGATGCCTCCACTGCCACTCTATTTCCTTCTCTCACCTTCCAGGTCCTGTTCTTTCCCTATAAACCCTTGGTAACCAGTTCCCCAGTTAAGACTTTGTCATATCCTTGTTTTTCTACCTTCTGAGTGCTGTGGATGAAGGTCTGGCTTTGGGGAGCCCACCCTGTGCTCAAGAAACCATCCCTGCAATTCTTTTAATCTCCCTCTGCTGCTGTTGTTTTGGACTTTGGCACTGCTGAGGGCTTCTTAGGCACTTGCTATAATGAAAAATATCCAGGAAGCTTTTCCTTTTCTAAGGCTAGAATGGTTTCTGCAGGTCCTTGAGATGTGACCCTATTTGTTAAAAACCAACAAATTTCAAGTGCAAATTCACACAGGTTTCCTCCCCTGAACCCTGTGCTCTGCTCTCTCCACAGTTCATTACTTTGTAATCTCAACAATTGCTAAGGAAACCTTTCTAAACTTGTCAATTGGCAATGCAACTGCTTTTCAATTTAGTTTTAAAATAGTTTTTTAAATCAGTCTCTGCCTGTGCTATTGATTTGAACTCTTAAGTTGCTCCTTAACAAGCTCTTTGCTGCTTTAAAGCCTTTCTCCAAGGGTCAAAGAATGATATTTAAGGGAGGGAAGGAGTATTGTCCAGTAGTTGTTTTCTAAATGTAGTTTATTAAACTAAGTTTCTTTAAAAGCGGTTTTGACTTTTAAAGTGAAATTAAGGCACTTGAATTATATATATGCATTCAATTTTTGTGTCTGGTTTTCACAATTAATGTACTTTATATTTGGTTGTCATCAGATGGTTTCCTGAACTGAGGTCCCTTGAAGTGATCAAGCTTGCAGAAACTCAAGAGCCTTGTTCTATCTGTGAAAAATTGAGAGGTTTTTTGATGACAAGGTTATATGTTTTAGAAAATCTTTAGAACATTGTGCACCTTTCCAGGTCGGGGTGACAAAGGTGCCAAACAGAAGACTCCAGGACAAAACATGATTCCTAATCACTTTCTGCAACAAAAATTATATTTTAAGTACACGTGGGAGGTTTTGTAACGTTCAGCATTGTAGATGTGGGGCCTCTCTGGAAGTGGACTGTGGTTCATAGGAGTTAATTTAAAACAATTTGATGTAGAAGTTGATTAATTCATCTTTTGTTAAAGCCTTATCAATAATTTTGATGAAGTTGATCAGAAGGAAGCAATGGAGAGCTTTAGGTCTGTGGGTTAAACCAGCAGTTACATAGTATTTCATGGCTGGATTTCAAGCTGTACTGGCTTGCAACAGCTTCCCCCGTGGAAGACAAGAACATTAGGTTATCCTGCAAGAATGCAGAGAGCCTTATGTACCAAGAGATTGGTAAGGCCTGAGGAAAATTTTTTTGCAGTCGAGCCTCAGCAGCCTGCCCAGGCTGTGAAATGTGCTTTGTAACCAACTTCAGCCCTGCACGAGTATGGGGCTTGCTGTGTAAACATTTAAAAGACTAAGGCATACCCATAAGACAATTATAATTGAACTTAATACTACAACTGCATGTTCCTTAACTGCTGAGGAGGAATCTTCAATAGGTGTGAACACAAAAAGGCATCTGATTCTCAAGTAAAGGGTTCATTCTCTGTTGGGAATGTTGCTCCTTGTTATGACTACCTTAAACACCAGGGGTCCTTACTGAACATAAAATCGGTACTACTCTTATCTCTCTGAAATCCAAACACTCTGCACATGTTTATACACAGAATTAGTGTCTTATTATTAAATTAATGTGTCCATATCATAAGCATTAGATCTAGCCTGAATATTCATAGACACTACTGCTTGTGATGCAGGCACTTCCATGCTGCTGTCAAGTTGTTAATAGTCTTTATTGCAGGATAGAAGAGAAGATAATCATGTTTAAAACTGGGATCTCAGTTCATGTATGAACACTTTCTCTTGCATGCTCTGCTGAGAGCATGAGAATTCTCTAAAGATGTGGCAGGAGCTGGATACTTTCTCTACTTCCTTGGCTGAATGTATTTATGGTATTGTTGGATCTTCAGGTTTTGAATAAGATACCCACCCATGCAAATGTAGTAGTTTTAAGTAATTTTTAAGTACATGGTTCTTTTGTTTTGTCTGTCCAGAAATTCAGCAGAACCTGATCTAGTAGGTATAAAGTCAGAAATGTGCATTGTAGTCGCTATTACAAAAAGCAGCTTGTACATATTCAGAAGACTCATATGACAGAACATCATCTCTCTGTTGTATCTATTCATTTTGGTCTAGGTACTACCTGCACTTGGGGACCCCTCATGGTCTAGTGGTTAGGATGCAGCACTCTCATCGCTGCGCCCTGGGTTCGATTCCTGGTCAGGGAATTCCCCCGGGCAGATGGCGCTCATCAGCCTGTAAGGCCACCCATCTAAGAGAAGGTCACTCTAAACAAACCTACGTCCTGAGGACCTCGCTGCCACTGTCCAAGCTCACTCAGCCCCAGCAGATGAACCCTAGGATTAGAGGGTGGGCTCAGCTCAGCGCACACTGTGTCTCACCTAAAAAATCCACTGTGCAGGCTCAAAGGGTAAAGACCTTTCCCAAATCTTTGTTCACAAAGACTGGCCATACACTACGTGTACTTATCAATGCGAAAGAGCTGCCTTCTATCAGAGCAATGATAACCAGACACTCCAGAGAGCTGACTTTGAAAAACCAGCCTTGCACTCTGAAAAACGCACGTTAAAGGGTTGAACTTCATTGTAAAATGCACTGAAAATTGTCAGTTGATTCTTCTGCTGGTGTAGTGGTTTGAACCTTGTTTTCCCCCAGAGGCTAAGAAAAGTGGTAACCCCCAAGGGGTGGAAACCCCTGGAAGTTTTGAAGTCCTGTCCAATGGGCGCTCCTGCAGAAATGTAAACATACCACAAGCTAACCAGAAGAGAAAAGTTGTAGTTTGGGTAGTTAGAAGAAGTAGCTATGTTGTAGAGCCACAAAGAAAGGGGCCCGGAGCCCCTCAGGGCCTCTGGGGCCCCCCAGCCCCAGCTGGGGGCTACAGAGACTTGGAACAGTGTTAAGTTGGACTACGTGTCTGTAGCTGTGAGCTGGGAGATGTTTTCTCCAAACTGGGCAGCGGTCAGAGAAAGCAGCAGCCGGCACTGACCAGAGAAGCGGTAGCAGAGAGCCAGAAGAGACAAGATGGAGCAACAGAGACATGCAGCACCAGAGAGAGAGAGAGAGAGAGAAGAGTTGAGAAGCTCAGAGCATCCTGGGAAGCTCTGAGACGGGACGGAGAGGAATGCGGAGGGGGTGACCTTGGCTCCCCCCTCACACTACTGCCAAGGTGGCAGCCTGAGGCAGGGCACAGAGGCCCTGCAAGGAGCTTGAATCTCCTGGAGATACCAGACCGTCACGAAGATCCCCTGTGCTTCGTGATATGACGTGGTGAAACGACCTTGCCTGGGGTTACGAAGCCCACGGAAGACCCCTCGGTTGGTTGGCGATGGAGCCGAGGGAGCTTGGATACCTCCCTCGTGAGTGCTGGCAGAGATCCAGCAACAGCTGCGTGCATGAGAGAGAGAGATGGACTGCTTCTGCTACTCTGAAGAAGCTGCTGCCCTGAGAGACTGGAAGGGATCTGTCCTTCTTTCCCTCCTGGACTTTTATTTGGAGGGGAGAAGAGATCTGATCCATTGTAAATACTATATGTCATGGTAGAGATAGTTGTGATCGTGTGTATAATGTGTTATAGTATTTATTTGTACAGTCATTGTAATATATTCCCTTTCCCCCATTCTGAGTCTGGTTGTGTTTTGTCTGGAAAAACCCATCTCACATTGGGTTGAGATGTGGGAGGGGGATGGAGCTAGGGAATTGGATTTTGGGGCTATCTCAAACCATGACAGCTGGTAAGTGGAAAAGTGGAGAATCAAACCTTAATTAGTACCCTAATTAAATCACATTTCAAACTGCAATAACCAGATGACTTTGAGGAGTAAGAGAAACGGGGGAGAAAATCAAAATATTGTCAGCTATTATCCAGCTCTAATACAAGCCTCTGCTGCAGACAGCACATTCCTTAGGTGAAAATAATGGAGAAGTTGAAAATAACTGCATGCACCAGTTGGTCACAGGATGACTGCGAATCATGAATGTAGTGTGGTGATGAGAAAGGCAAGCATGACTGTGGAATGCATGAGGAGGTATTTAAAACAGAGAAAGGGAAATAATAATAATGCTATTGTATCAGAACTTTTTCTGATAAGGCTTTTCGGAAGTGCATTGTGCTATTTGGGGATGACTATATTCAGGAAAGATGATCTCATACTTGAAATAAGTGCAAGGAATAGCTTAAAGCTTAAATTGCACTGCATATGTTAGATTCTCATCAAAGCACTCCGTGGTACTTGGAGCTCTTGGGACAGGCAGCTCCTGTCCATGCTGGCTTGGGAGGGAGTAGCCCCTGGCACAGCAACTATTTCACCACCATTTGTACCAGCACACACATAAGCTTTTGTAGCAATGACTTACCTGCCTCACACATTCCAGGATGGTGTGTCCCATGCAGTCTGGAGGTCCTTACCTGGTGGAGAGTCTCAGTTTCAGTTTTGCAAAGTTGTCAAGACATGATGGTTACTCCTGCTGTTTTTTCTGTTTCTGAAGCAGTTTGGAGGCACGAGCTCAGGATCATTCACACCCTGAGCAACAGGGCAAGATGGTACATGGGATGACATGTGGCACACATCTGTGCTCCATGCCATGTTTCCCTCAGAGATAACCACTCATTTGTTCTCATCTATTGCCTGTATCTGGTAGGCATGGAAAGAATATTCTGGGAGAAAACTAGAGCCTCAGAAACTTGACTTGTCCTCCTTTCCAGCCCAGTTGTGTGCTTTTGTCCCATATCCTGAATGAGGATGCAGATATTAACTCCTTTGTCCTGGTAGTCAGTAACATGCCTGGAAAATCTGTCTTAAGTGGAATCCTGACTGTGAAGTGAAATATATGACCTTAAAAAGCTAAGGAAGTGTAGATAAAATCTTGAAATGCCGTTTTATGAGGAAGAAAGAATTTGTAGCAAAGCCTTTTCTGGAACTAAATATAGTGAAATGTCCACAGTGATTCTCAGTTTTCTGTACTGAAATCACTACATTGCTGCGGTGAGCTGTAAAGGCCTAACTGTAAGTTTTCCAATTATTTTAGGTTTTGTTTTTTTTTCCTAAGATGGCAGGAAGAAGGGGTGAAGGCAGGAGCAAATTAAGTATATGGCATTCTAAATGTGTTGCTGTAGTTGGTCCAAACTGGAATATTATGAGAAGTATGACCCTGCTTAAGGCTATGTAAAGAAAGCTATCATAATAGAAAGTTCATAGGGCATCCTTGCACATAGTGCTGCAGTTACACATCCTGTGACGTGGTTGTTAGTGAGACAAGCTTTGCTGCCAGGTGTTAGTTTGTTCTGCATTGCTGGCTTTGCCAGTTTGTAACACATTGTAAGCACTAGACCCTACTGGCTAAACAAAGTGCAGTTACTTGTGTGGGGCAGTGGTGGTGAGAGTCATCTTTATATTGTTTTTGTGCTTTGTTTCTACATGATTGTGGTGCTCATTTGCTGCTGCAGAGAGTTTCCGATTCCAAGGGTAGGATATATCCTAAGCACACACCTACATATCCTCTCTTCCTATACTCCTTTAACATACAAATGAAAGCATCCATGAAAGTTCTTGACCGGTTTTACCTGAAAACACATCAAGGAAGATGCTTGGGGTAGTGTTTTCAGGGGATACATCTTGGTCAAGCCCAGAAATAGAACCAGTTCTTCAAGTCTTTGAGTCTGCAGCCTGGGAGACTGCCCTGATGAAAAGCACAGTCCATACTGCAAAAGACTGTGAACAGAGGCCCAGTGGCTGCACCTAATAATATTAATAAGTCTGTGAACCTGCAAATGCTACCTTTCATCCCTGGCCTGAAGGGTAGGCTCCTTCTCTTTGGTTTATTTATTTATTTCAAGCAGCATTGTTGGTTGGTTTCTATAAAGCTATCCTGAGTCAGTGGTGTTTCCACTGGCATATCTCCTCATATCGCTGCAGGGAAATTTCCCCAGAAGCAAAGCCTTGCCCATAACCAAAAGGCATGACCCTACAAACACTTATCAGGGCGTTCATCTCTGCTCTCACCACACTTTGTGAGCAATCCATGCAAATGAACAGGCTGATCTAAAGGTGTATATTTTTATAGTGTGTCAGGGATTATGCTGAATTATGGGCACTGAGGAATAGGGTCCAATGCAAAGCTGAATTGTTTAATAGCCAAAGAGAGTGTTCCTGGGGATCTGTTGGTGTGAGGAAGATCTGGCAGTATTCGTGCCTGCTTTACATAAGGAAGATCTGAATTCCACTCCCATTTGTGCTCAGGTTTCTCTTCTCTGGGAGCGCTAAACTTGCTTCAGTGCATTCATGTATGAGTGAAGACAGATATAGATATAGATATATATGCACACACACATATATAAATTGTTCATGTGTTCATGAAGTTTGATGTAAAACCAGGTATGTTGCTACTAAGGCTCAGTAGTAGCAACACAGGCAAAGTTAATCAGGGAAAGGAACAATATCAAGAGACCACAAGAACTGACCCATTTCAACAAAAATGCACATGTATGAAGTACCTTCCATGCAGGCTAGCTGCTCTGCAGATGAGTGATGGCTAACCGTGCCCTTAGCACAGAGCATCAGTCACCGAGGCGATTGTTCTCAACCATTAGTGTGTTATTTAATTTTAAGAACAACTTCACTTCAGAAAAATCGACCTAAGAGAAGTCAACGTTGCAGTTAAGCCTGAAAAGAACATGTAAGGGTCAGGGTCTTCAAAAAGAAATGTGAGAAAATGTGAGCTCTTAAAGAGAAATTATGTTAATGTAAGTGAGTTTCTGTAACATTTTCAAGTCCTTTGAAACCTGAAACAAGGTTTTCTTTCTCCATTTTAGGGGGCACAGGTAAAGTAAAAGGTAAAATCACAATTTTTCAGTGGTTGACTGTTAGGACTACTCATGACTTGTTTTTTGTGAGAATACTCAAAAGAGCACTTTCCATTCTGTACCTCAGCTTCTGGTAGCCTAATTCTGCAAAAATGCAATTAATCTGTCTCCCAACCTTCCTGTTTCTCTAAAGGTTTGTTTCAGTGGTTGTTCAAAGATAGAAGAGCTACTTCAGAACAGAAGTCCACAAACGTTTCGCTTGCTGTAAAGATGCCTTCTATAAGCTGGGTTAAGGTGAAGTGGAACATGCAAAACACAGTATCTCACACTCTGAAAAAGACGAACCACAGGAGAATACTGTTCCTCTGCATGCTGTTTTCTTGCCTGGCATATAGATGCTTGATGCTTGTGTGTGGGAAACAGTTCCCTGTAGGTAGAGAAGGAAAATTAAGCTATCCGAGCCCTATTTTATTCTATGTCTATGACTTGATCCAGCCATCCCAGAGCTTCCCAATAACTTCAGTCCCATTAACAAGAAGACATCTAATTTTCCTTTCCCTCTCAATATATTCAGACAGGAGCTGTTATTTCTTCCAATTCCTATATCCAAGGCACAGTTATAAGTGAGCCTTTGCTGCAGTATCCTAGAAGTTTGCGTGGGTTCAGAAGGTAATGGTCACATTCATAAAAGAAAAGTAGATCAACAGGTATAAAATGCAAGCCAGGTTCTCTAGCTCACAAAGTCCCTGAGCCACAACCTGCTGGAGTCTGGGAGTACACTCTTCAGGAGCAGTGGTATGTGTTTGTGCTCATGCTCTTCCTTAGTGCTCCGTTCTTTGGTCATGGGATAGAGACAGGGCACTGAACTGGGTGGGTTTTTGATCTGCCCAAGTTCTTATGTTTTTATTTTCCTTCTGGAAATAAAAAATAAAAATTAATAAGCCTAGTATTATAAACTTTAAAAATTCCATAAAATCACCTCGTATTTTATTTCCATAAATCCATGACTCCAGAGGCTACACCTTACTAGTCAATACTGTTGATGGGGTAAAAGCCACCATAGTAACCAAGTTTGTAATGTTGTAACGTCAGCAATGGGGGGGATTTATTCTTGCTGCGAGGACTGAGATAGATGCATCTATCAATATTTGGGGGATAGGCGATGGTATCTGAAAACCAGGGTTTAAAAACAAGAAGAAAGCTGTTAACTTAAGGGAAAGACACTTCTGGAACAAGAGATGACATCCTGGAATGTACACATAAAGGCACACTCAGAAAAAAACTAATAATTTTTTGGTATACTGTAGAATCAAAGAATGACCCAGATTGACCTAAACTGTCTCTTAGTGTTTAATACTTCTCTTTTTTCCTTCAATAACCAGGGGACTGAAAGGTCAGGGTCTTTTTAACTATGTCTTCTCTTTGAGTATTTCAGTAAAGAAAGTACAGAATCATTTTGCTTCAACTCAAAAGTTGCTCCTTACTGTACCTTACTTAAGTACTTTTAAAGTAGACAAAAGCTTCCATTCTGGTTGCTTATTAAAATAATTGATTTATTATTTGCTTGTTTTTATACAGATTTCATTCTTACTCGTAGACCATAAACAAAGTTCAAGATGATGAAGCCATCTTTTCTAATTTGCTTTAGAAAAACATATAAATCATTTAGACTCAAACTAATGGTAGAAAACTAGATTTGCATATCAATATGAATGCATTTGTCATAAATAATTTATGATTTTTTAATTAATGTACTATTTTGATAACATCTTAATTAGGAAGATTTCTTTGGGACTATCTTATGAAAACAAGTCATGACCAGTATTTCCTTTTCTTCCTTTTCCCTTCACATTTTTAACCACACTTTCAAAATCACCAAAAGCTGACTGAGTAACAGTCCTTGAATGTGAAAGATTTCCATTCAGGTTTGATTGACAGGACAAACATCCTACCAAAAGGGCTTTTTAGTATTTGGAATACCAGTCAATGACTCTTTGTGACCAGCCCTGAGTGTTCTTGGCTTCACCTTAATTTTAAAACTTCATAATTTTTCATAAGATGGAATAGCTGTTTTCTGTCCAACTCTAAACAATGAGCTTCTTTAATTGAAGCAGATGAAATCTCTGATGCTCCTTTGCTAATGGCATTCCTTGTTACTGGAACATAATTCAGCAAGATGAACAAGAGACTATTTTTGACATGAACACTATGAAGGGAAAAGATTTTTCTGGATTAGATGTGTTTATTTTTTGTGAGTAACACATGCTAGATCATTAACAGTTTCATTATCAATATCAAAAAATATTGCAGGGTAAACAAAACCAAAGCACAACCTTGGAAAATATATTTATAGAGTTATACCTAGAAGCCAAACTTTTTTCAATCATGTTAAAAGGTATTTAGGATAGTAATAACCTTTAAAAAAATAAAAATCAAAAAGCTAGAAGCACTACAGCAACAAAAAACCTGAAAATTTTATCACCAAAAAATGCATGTGAAAAGCTCTAGATGCAGTAGAACTAATCTGTCAGGAGATCTACTAGTAATAATCGGTACAGATTCTCCTAATTAGTGATTGTACCACCTTTTAAACATCCTTCAAATTGTGTTTGTGTTATTTCATGTTCTGCTTTATAACTATTAAAAGTATTCCTTAAATTGAAAAAAAAAATTAAAATACACAAAAAATTAGTTGTTCAACTCATCTATACAAGCAAATTCTTTGATATCTAGTCCTCTACTTCAGTGAAGGAAGTCAGGGAATGTTTTCCTAGAGAGCAGATCACTAGAAAATTAGTACTTCAGAGGTACTCATGGTCTCCATATTAAAATTACTGGAGTTGGTTTTCCCATAAGCAAATTTTTCTGCATCTTATTTCAACAGCTAAAGTTAAGATGCAGAGTCAGCCCATCGATTTTTATAGAGTGATGAAAGTTTGAAGTGAAGACTGCACATAATTTTTATTGTAGCAATCTTACCAACCAACTAAAGTTCTTACCTACAGCAATTCGAAGTGTGAGCGCTTCTCAGTGTTCACTCTCTTATCCTGTCCCTCTACCCTTCTCCGCACACAGGTTTCACACTGCACATTGGGAGAGACTTTTGTTGTATCACATTCCATTTCTGGTTTAAGCTGTATATTTCTGGGCTGTGTGAAACAGCTGGGTTTTTTTATAACCTCAAAGAATTCAGATTTCTTTGTAAATGGAACATCTGTACATTTCAGATGGAAACGTAGAAGATAACTCTAGCATTTTTTTTGACTTTTTTCCTTAGTTTGATCATAGATGTAACAATTTGTGTAGTGCTCACATCACCCTTCTCCACTAGCTCTCCTTTCGACACACATTTCATCCACAAAAATCGACCATTGCACTGTTCTGTCGTATGTAAACCCCTAACTTTGAAAGGGAACATTTTATCTGGATTTTTAATATGATTATTGTTCAAGAACCCGACTGACTGGTAAATGTGAGTCCTAGAAAAAGTGGGGGGAAATTTTTCATTCTTTGGGTGTTCCTTGAGTGAAATTTTCCTCCCTTAGATGTAGTGTAAGTTTAAGGCAGAGGTTTTCTTTCCTAGCCTTTGGTGGTTGGATGGTAAAAGTTGTTGTATTTAAAGAGGTACATGCTCTTTCACTGGGTTCTCATGAAAGAAAGGGAGAAGAAAGGAGGAGACAAAGCAACTTCTAATAGGTTATTTTTGCACATTTATAACTGCAGCCACTGGTGCTACCCCATTTATCTAGGACAGAAGTGTAACAGAGGCTAAAGAACGTAGGTCAGAGCATATGAGCTTGTATGTGCCTGCCAAAAAAGGTTCTGTAGGTAGATGAAGATATTGAAAAATGTGGGCCCAACAGAAGCCCCCAGTTTTATTGTGTGCAGGACCACTGGGATGGGGCTCATTTGCCCAGTTGGCATCTTTATGCCAGCACCAATGCACAACCATCTGACCACACCCCAGTTTCAAAAAGATCAGAGGTTGTTCTTTGCAAACGGATTTCTCATGGTTTATTCTGGACAGTGGGTAGTTAGCATAGGCTAACTCATCCTGTGATAGATTTGAAGGTGATTAAGCATTCTGTCTCTACTTACTGGCCTTACAGACATCTTGGAGATCACTGCTGCTTCTTTTTGACTCTTCAGCCTGTAAGGAAACTGCAAATAAAATGCCCTTTCTAATCTAGGTGGACTCCTAGTCCAGTGCCCTTTCTGATTTCAGTATTTACCAGGTTTTTTAAAGCTGGTGTTGTAACCCCTGCCTAGAAACCTAACTTAAGGTCTATACTTGTATTAGTTTAAGAACTCGATTTAGCTGGATGACCCATTCTGACAGCCCTCCTAAACTTTGTTTCATAGCCAGTGAGAAAACTCTAATCCATTTGTTCAATGGTTTCTGCAGGAGTTAACTGTAATCCTAACCCTGAAACTAAACAATTGGATCTAACTTACCCTCTTGATTCTTCCTCTAAAAGTAAGCATTGCCTCAGGCTGGAACAAGCCAAATCTTAGCCCAACAGTGCTCTCTAAGTTCATTCTGTTTAGCCATGCGGATTACTCACATGGAAACAAATTCCTTCTTGCTTCCAGACTTCCATAGCCAGCAGGCTGATGTTTGATTTGCCAGTTAAACATCACTGGTTAGTCATGGATCTGGGACAGATCAAGAAAGCTGCTCTCAAAAGCTGATAAGAACCAGCTTCTCATGTGATTAAGCCTCATTCCCATAATATCAGGCTGGAAGTCCGGGAGCAGGCTTGTCATACTTGTCCCTCCAGTATGAGCAGGAGTGCTCATGTTTTCTCAAACTGGTAAGTGTCTGCACTTCATGAGAGAATGGCTGCCATGGGATTCATCATCTGTCTCAAACTGGCTTTGCACACCTCTTTCATGTCCTCCCTTTCCTACGTTCATGTTCTTTTATGTTCAAAGGCTTGGTATCTCTGAGCAGGTGCTGTATGTCATAAACAACCTCAGCTAGACATGCACAAAATTCAACAGAGAATTGGCACACATATGAGCTTGCATGTTAGTGGGAAAACTGATTAAGATAATGCCCAGATACCTTCAGTGAGAGGTAAAAGGAGAACATGGGAACTTGCACACATGTTGGCTTTATGATGGATTAAATAATGAAAAGGGTTTGAATTTTTGAAGAAAATAATAGATTGAAATG